TCGTACGTGTGAATCACAATACCTATATCCACGCTCTTGACATTTTTTGCCACTAAGTTGTGCGGTGAGTACAGATGCATCACTTTCGTCTTATAAAGGTTAAGTATGATACCATTATCATGAGCCCAACGAGCAACATTATCGAAGTCAGCCTGCAGCACAACCCTGATCTCTTGTATATTCTTAGAGGAGTATATAAGGCACATGTCATCCGCGTACATATATACTCGAGATTTTTTAACCACATTACTGACGCTATTGACATGCATAATGTAGCCAACAGGACCATAGACAGAACCAGTTGGAACAGCAAGCTGTACCGCTGCTTCTTTACCAGAAACACCAGAAATGCAGGTTTGTAATGTTCTGTCACTCAGATAACTCCGAAACCACCTATTTGTTGGACCCCTGATACCACACTCATCCATGGCCTGTAACAGCACGTCATGATCCAAGGTATCGAAGGCTTTTTTAAAGTCTATGAACAGCGCCAGGAACTGATAGCCCTAGTGCAGACTACTGTTTATATCTTCGGAAAACTGTGACAGTGCTGTTATGGAGCTACGACCATGCCTAAAACCGTGCTGTGCATCCGCTAAAATGCTATTTTTCTCCAGGAATTCGCTGACCTGGCCGACTACCATCTTCTCAACTATTTTATTAATGACTGATAAGATAGCAACCGGCCTATAGTTAGCATACACTGAGTGCGCTCCCTGCTTGTAATTGGGCCTGATTAAAGCTTTTTTGAGTGGGCTAGGATATTCCCCTTTCAATAAATACAGGTTGATAAAGTGCGATAGGACCGGCGAGATTCTATCCTTGATTATTTTTAAGTCCATAACTCGAATGCAGTCAGTGCCTGGCGCCTTATTACAGCTCAGCTGATCGATAATTTTGCTCACTGTGTCACTGGTAGTTGGTTTAAAGCGAAACGATACATCACTTTCTTTAACGTATTTACTTCTATCTAATTTAATACTACAATTATGTTTAATAGCAATAATTTCGTTAGTAAATGTATCTGCAAATTGACTACATACTACATTGTGTTATTATCTCCAAAATATTTTTTAACTATATCATCTATATTTGCTTTCTTCCTACCTGTCCAGCTATTAATTTTGTCCCAGATTTTTTTTGGGTCTCCATTACATTTCTTGATTTCTTCCTGCCGAAACCTATTTTTTTGCTTTAAATATTAATTTGTTTACCTTATTTCTAAATCGTGTATATTCTAGTCTTTTCGTATTATTGTTTGGTGTTTCTTTCCAATCCCTAAATAACCTATCCCTACGCATTATCATTTTATTTAAATCTCTGCTTATCCACGGTTGTGTGTCCCGTTTTTTTATCTTTGGCATTACAGTCTTATTATTTTTATAAATATTATTGAAAGCATTTTGCAGCTTAGAATACAACTTTAACGGACAATCAATAAACAACAGTTGAGACCTGTTAATAATATTAATTACAAACCGAGTGTCCGATCCGCGCTTTCGGTGCAGTGTTGCGTCACATGTTTACACGGCAACGAGATTCCCACCACATGATGATCCGACATGGAGTACTCAATGATGAACGAATAGCAGTCTCGTAGCTGTCTTGCTCGCACCCAAACATGATCGATATACGACGCTTCTCTTACACCGTAACACGTAACCGGTATTACACACTGTAGGCCTAGTCCACACAGGCAGTCCTTATATTTTGACACCAGTTGATTTTCACTCACTCCGAACAGGTTTATGTTGACGTCACCTAATATGATAATATACTCGCTCGCTGGGATCTTCATAATTATCTGCTCCATTTCATCAACGAATAACGACCTATTCGTTTTTGGTGGTCTGTAGCCTGCAAATATATTAAGAATTGAGTGGTCAACAGTGATTTTACCATAAAGTCCTTCCAGTGAACTCGTTAGGGTTTTGTGTGCATTGAAATTAAGATATTCCTTAGCATAAATAATCACACCGTCTCCTCTTTTAGTCTCCTTCGTGTTTGCAAATAGATTGTATCCCTCCATGTGGTATAGTGATAGCTCATTATTGGTAATGTTTGCCCCTGTCACCACTAGTAATGCTAACTCCTCAGAGCATTTTATTACAAAAACTTGCAATTAATTAAAGTTTTTTCTTATCGACCGAATATTTATATGTAATATGTGTAAATATTTGTTGTTGCAAGATATAATCGGAACCCAGGTATTCGCCGTTTTAAATCTTGTATATTGACATTACAGTATGATAATTGCATCGAAACGATCACCTTTTACTTAATGTTATTGAGCTCGCAGTGTTTACTTCACACTAAGTGTGCGTGAGGCTAGTGAGACCAACAACAGCATCTAGCTAGTATTTACATTGTCTTCTATATATTTCTCAATATCACGTTCACTCCTAATTGACATTATTTTCTTCTATTCATCACTCTTTCTTATGAGTATTTTTCCATCCTGTACCCAAATTTACTTGTACGTTTTCTTAAGCTGATTTTTAGTAACCCATAAAAGGTTCCTTTTATATCTAGTGAGATTTTCATTTATATAAATACGGTTGTCGTTATTTGTACCATAAATTTCGCCATTCGTTTTTTGCGACTTCTAATCCACCTATCACGAGCCTCTTTCGTTCTCAACGTTACAACTACTGGTAGTGGTTTGTCGGCGTCTGGTTTTACACGGCTAGGTATTCGCTGTTTTAAATCTTGTATATTGACATTACAGTATGATAATTGCATCGAAACGATCACCTTTTACTTAATGTTATTGAGCTCGCAGTGTTTACTTCGCACTAAGTGTGCGTGAGGCTAGTGAGACCAACAACAGCATCTAGCTAGTTGCCGTATTTACATTGTCTTCTATATATTTCTCAATATCACGTTCACTCCTAATTGACATTATTTTCTTCTATTCATCACTCTTTCTTATGAGTATTTTTCCATCCTGTACCCAAATTTACTTGTACGTTTTCTTAAGCTGATTTTTAGTAACCCATAAAAGGTTCCTTTTATATCTAGTGAGATTTTCATTTATATAAATACGGTTGTCGTTATTTGTACCATAAATTTCGCCATTCGTTTTTTGCGACTTCCAATCCACTTATCACGAGCCTCTTTCGTTCTCAACGTTACAACTACTGGTAGTGGTTTGTCGGCGTCTGGTTTTACACGGCTTACACTCTCTGCGTGCTCAATCTGGCTAACATCCATCTGGAGTTTGTTGGCTACCTGGATTATAATTTTCGCCATATCTTCATATTCCCTCTTTTCCAGTCCAGCTAATTCCACCTTTTTTCCTTGTCTTTCTCTTCCAGCTCATTCACACGTTCTTCCAGTGCCTTGTTGCACTTCATCAAGTGAGCATTCATGTTTTCTAAGGATTTTATTTTTATTTCGGTTGACTTCTAGTACGCCATTAGGTTATCATACTTTTCTGACACAAAATCAACCAGATCGGCCAGCACACTCAGCTTCTTCTCCATTTTGTACACCATCTCCATTTTCCTATTCATATCAGCCGGGTCACTGCAAAATCCGGTTCATCAACAGTAGGCGAACTAGTATGCGATCCGGGAACGGAAACACAATCTTCACATTTTTCATTTTTGAAGGTAGCTCTCGTAACGCATTTTTATGGAAGAATGCTTCACATGCGCCTTTACATTTACTAGTCTCCTCTTTCGCGATCGACACAGTCTTATTGCATTTCTAACACTTCACCATTATTAATGCTTATGCGATATTGGCAATACACCGTCTTTTAGATATTTATGCACAATTACGTATTTAACTTAAGTGGATCTACGAAACAACAGCCGTACGCCAAGCGCGCGCGCACACGACTGCGAAAAATGGCGAGTACATCACTCACCTTCGATCTGCCGACAATATAGTTCTTATGGCAAAATCGCTGGAGGACCATGCTCTATGCACTATGCTCAATGACCTCAATAGCAACGGATAGGCCATAAGATGAATATGATGACAAAACAAAAATCATGTGTAAGATCCTTGTCACACCTTTTCAGGTAGTTGTTGGGAGCACCAAGCTCGAATTTTAAGATCAATACGTTTACTTGGGACAAATAGTCCGACTATGTAAGCCCAACTTCGACCGAGACGTCAATCGACGGATTCAACTTGGCTGAGCAGCCTTCGAGAGATTACGAAACATTTTCCTTCCATACTTTTCCTCCCTTCCTCAAAACTTAAAAATGAGATTGTATAACCAGTGCTCGTTAGCAATGATGACTAATAGATTTGAGACTTCATTGCTGGCCGTATCAGGAAGCTCAAGGTCGCTCTGCGAGCTATGAAGATGGCTATGCTCGTGTAACAATCGTAAGATAGTAGAGTAATCGACAAAGCCTAACGAATTAGTAAACTGCAGTGGCAATGGGCCGGCCATATAGCTCGAAGAACCGATAACCGAAAGGGAAGCAAAATTCTCGAGAGGCAGCCTCGTACCGGTAGGTAAAGTGTGAGACGGCTCCTCATCGAATGGAATGATAACCTGGTAAGACATGCAGGAAGTCGATGGATGCAGGTGGCTCAGGACCGTGCTTTATGGAGACCTATGTACAGCAGTGGAGTTGTGAAGGGCTGTAATGATGATGATGATGATAGCGTGAAGTTATTTGTTACGCATATGGTCACACAGTGTCAGCATCATTGAAAAGTTGCGATTTTATTAAAGTCTTACGGTTCATTTTTATGCTTCTACTCTTCGATAAATCGGTACTTTGGTACATCTATTCCCATTATAATTAATATAAATACATTTAATATTTCAGAAAGAGAAATAAATCTCTACATTTATGAAGTGGTGTACCCGTTTGTCACCCTTGTATAAAAATGCCCTTGTCCGGACAGTTTCGGGTTATTTGCTAACTGATTGGGGTTGAGGGGTCGGGGTAATTGAAATAAATAAGCTTTTAAAGTTATAGTTTTAATTATTAATGTATACATTTATACATTAATATAACTTGCTATCACTTTTACATTCGGATGTTCGTTAAAAAGCAGCAGTATTGATCATCGTTTTCTTCATTCCACACTTTCCATTTGAATGTAAATTTACCCTGTAAAATAAAAAATAATAACATGTAGAATGCAGTTCCACTCGATATCGTCCACATCATCTGTAGGCTTCTTACCCTTTCTCCCAACCTCCGATTATTTATTTGTTCATTTATTTATAATTTGTATATTTCACAGTATATTAAATTTGGTATTATAATATAAACTATATATTTGACATTTTATAATTTATATTATAATAAAGCCCAACCAGATGAGAACACTATTTAAATATGTACCCCAATAATGATATATTATTATATAACACGCTATATATTATGTATATACACTCGGTTGATCAATAAGTTTTCGGAATAGGACTCTTATCAATGAGTTATACAAATGCGTTCTATTTTTTTCGAACCTTAAATTTGTTAGTAGTTAAGGCCAGGAGAAACTAATTTAAAAATTATACCCATTTTTTTTCAAACCTCACATTTGGCAGAAATTTGATTCGTATAGAAAATGGAAAAATCTGTCTGAAATAAAATTTCTATAAAAAGTGTTTTTTAAGAACTGTAGTCTACTTTGGCAGGCAATGCTCCGTCTTATTCTGCAGCGGCATACTGTGTGCCAAATTTAAGAGCGCCAGAACTGCCCACAGTGACGACAATTGCTTCAGGCGGCTTACTAAGGTACTATCGTAGTATTATCGTCACTTGTGTATGAAAGTCCCTAAACAAAATGGAAAACTAAAAAAAATATTTACACTTGGAAACTTCTTCCCTATTCTCAGGCTGTAGTTCAGCTGCTGCGACTTGCCGGCCTCCGTGGGACAGGTAGTATACTGGCAGCCGTCAGCATCTTGCAGCGCCGCGAAGGGAACGTCAACAGCGCCGTTCGCCCAGAAAACCCCTGTCTTCAGTTTTGGTGTTGAGAATTCTGGAATTTAAATGTTGATTGATACTGTAATACAGTAATAAAAGAGCTCATAAGCCATCTCATTTCTTTTATAGAAGAGGGGGCAAATGAGCATGCGGCTCATCTGATGGTTAGTGACTACCGCCGCCCATGAACAACTGCAACACCAAGGGAATCGCAGATGAGTTGCCGTTTTTTTAGAAAGGAGTAAGCTCTTTTCTTGAAGGTACCTAAGTCGTATCGGTCCGAAAAAATCGAAGTTGTACGAGGAAGAAACTCTTAGTAAAACGAACAGTGGTGGACCACCAAGCATCAAGATTTTGAGATTATATCGAGGATTTTTATGGATGTGCGTTCAAAGCAAGCAAGCTCCCCTTGGTAGATGCGATAGAAAATACAAAGGGATTCAACATCCCTACGGAGCGCCAGTGAATTGAGCCGATCTGAAATAATTCGGTCGTCGACGATTCGAACCGCTCTGCGGTGGATGCCGGCATGAAATACTGTTCCGCTCTGCTGAGCACGCCAAGCTTTTTATATGCCAATTTGGCCTTCCCTTCCAAGTGACCACGAAACTGCACACTATGTGATATGTCGACGCCAAAGATTTCAATGCTAGCTGAGACAGCAAGAGGAGCGCCTTGAAACTGAGATACAAAGGGATTCTTTTTAGCAGTGAACAAACAAACTGTGTCTTCTGAAGGTTGAACTGGATAGATTTAGTCGCCCACAATCCGAGACTCGAAGCAAAGACTCGACCTCAGACAGTTTCCCGGTACTTGGCGACGTTTTTCCTAGAAATATTGGCACGGCCGGTGTATAAGGCATCATCAGTTCTATCATCTGCATAGCAATGAATGTTACCAATTTGCAACATACCATTGATGTTGTAACGGCGCATTATTGTGTTATTAATAATTGAATTCTATATAAGGCTGTTAAAATTATCTTAGAAGTAATATTTGAAACAATTAAGAATACATTTATAAGCATAAAGCTAAAATAAATATTATAAAAATAATTAAGCTGAAATAAGTATTATACTACAGTAAAGGCTTATTTTTGCCTTTAAAAATTCATTAAATTTATTAAAATTCTGTTAAAATATTCAAAATGTATTAAATAACAGAAGTCGAATATATTATTATAATAAAGATATGTGAGATAGATAGGTGAGACAAACATGATCGAAAAATGCATATACTCAACGTCAGTGAGACAAACCCTTTCTGATGGAAAACTATTACTATTATCTAATAACTGCATGGCTATATCTGCCATTAGTTGGTGGAGCATATGCGTTGACGTCATCTTGGTGGTAGCTGGAGGGAGAATCTGAGGAGACTCCCAAGGCTGCGACCGAAAGCCGCGCAATGTGGGACCCATTTCCTTGAGGTGAGTGGTAGAGTCGCGACATGCTCTACGGTTAGAAGGCGTGCTAATCATGCACTCGGTGTTGATGCCATGCACTTACATCACGTCTACAGGGACGGTGGTCTGGTAAGTGGTGGCGCTCACGGAGGGCTTATTTTGGCCAGTGTGCCTATTATTCGACATGTTGTCATCAAGTCATCAAGACAAGTCACGCATTGATATGCGCGACTTCGGTTGATGTTTGTGCTTACGCACTACCAAGGGGCCCAACCCTCTTTTAATGTTTCGTCAGTAACTTTGATGTGGACTACGGTCCAGTTCGTACGGTCCAGGTAGGATGCAAAAAAATATCGCATCCTATCCCAATCGGCAGACCTATAGTGCGAAACTCGACGGCAGCACAATACAACCGCGACGTTATTGTGGCACCACACTCTGGACAAAACAATGTTCTGACGAGCGAAAAGGTCGTCGACGGAAACCTGATATCTGTCCAGATGAGAGGTTAGCAGAAGGTCCAACAGGAAAGGTGCATAATCCTCTACATATGGAATTTGCAAAGGCGAAGTAACCACCTGTGAAAGAAAACATGCCAAGGCAAAGTCGTAAACACATCTTTTTTCTTTTCTTTCTTCTTTCTTTCTAAAATCTATAAGGATCACGATCTCTGCGGATGGGATCTGCTGTAGCAGTACTATTAATGACATTTTTTGCGGTCTGTTACTTAAATATTAAATAATTAACTTAAGAGCATCACTTCTTACACCGTAGTGTTGAAGTTTCCTGATTAATGTTTCATGGTGAACACTATCGAAGGGTTTGGATAGGTCACAGTATATACCCTTGGCATCCTGTGAATTCTCCCATGCATTGAAGATATTTTTAATCAGCTCAACACCAGCCGAAAGACCCCTTGTAAAGCCGAATTTATTTTTATGTAATAAAGTATTTACATTCGATCAAGAATAATTTTTTCAAAAATTTTACTAAGTGTGTACCAAGTTTTATTTTATTATTTTTCTTGTGTTTGTGAAATAAATGTTTTTATTTTCTAACAATGAGGTAGAATACTGTTTAATTTTTATGTTCATTAAAATAAAATACGAATACGAATATTAAATACAAGTTAGGTAGCAAAGAACCTTTCACTACGGCGCGGCGCTTCCGCGGCCCTTTGACAAGATGCGGCACGTGCTAAGGTGGCGTGACACAAAGGGGAACGGATCTAAGTGAAAAGACTATACCATCAGGTGGGTAAGTGGTGTAATATAGTTAAAGATGCTAAATGGCATTAATATAGCTAAATGTTCCCTAGGTCTGAATAATTTACTTTTGATATATCACTTACTTGGTTCGAAGTCAAAGGATATCGAGTATTCTTCGCCTTTGTTCAACTTGCAGATCTTATTACCTTTACACGGTGTAATCCTCACCTCGGAAACCGTACATATGTCGTCTGATGCTGAAATAAAAAAATAAAAAACTACGGTTTATTTCTTCTTTAAGCGACAAATTAATATACGGTACCGGTAGCATACGGTACCGGGGATAGGGGTGTATAACTCTCGTCATGGGGTGTATATTGCCATTATTTTGCTGTTATCCGAAAGATGCTGCTGCCTATCCTGCCACAGTTTCCCTCCGTCGCTCGTTATGACCGTGTCGGTCGTAACGAGCGACGGAGGGTAACTGTGGGAAAACCACGGGAAGATGTCGATATCATTAGTATGAATAAAAAAGTATTTCAAATAAGGTCAACAACCTACCTAAATTTCGAACAGCTGGAAACAGAATACCACCGTGAATTAGCAGAATAGCGCTGCTGTGTTTTGTATGGTGGTGTGGAGAACCCTTGGCATTACTATTTTGGTTACATGTATATTGCATATAACAGCATCACATAAAATCAAAGTATTTCAAAAAAGACCTGCACATGAAATCTTGGACTTTTTCCATATATTATTTATATGTGGTACAGCAATGCTGCAGCTGTATTGCTGTGTTTGTAGCCCGAATTGATCGCATTGACGGGAAAATACCAAACTCTCATAGAATACTAGCGTGAAATAGCAGCACAACGCTGCTGTGTTGCGTAACGAGCATTCTCTAAACTTATTTTAAAAAATACGATTAAGTCTGCCTCTCGTCGCTGCGCGGATACCATAACTGATGTTATACGTCAAGCGATGGAGTATTTCATCCCCTTTGCCGACGTGCCCATTGGTGGTAAAGCTCGCCTTGTGCCTCTTTGTCAGAGGTCCGTATCACCAACAAGGAGGTTCTTAAAACCTTGCAAAGTCTAGACGTGAACAAAGCTAGTAGACCTGATGGTATACCGGCTATAGTTCTAAAGGTCTGTGCCTCTGAGTTGTCTCCTGTGTTGACGCGCTTGTTCCGCCTCTCATTCAGGACTGGAATAGCGCCCAAATCTTGGACGCTGGCCAGTGTGCAGCCTGTGCCTAAAAAAAGTAGCCGTGCTGACCCTGCCAACTTCAACTACCTCCATACTCTGCAAGATTATGGACCGTATATTGAACGCCCGCTTAATGGCATACCTAGAACAAAATGACCTCCTTAGTGACCAGCAATACGGGTTTCGCCAAAATCGGTCAGCTGGGGACCTTCTAGCGTATGCCACACACGTATGGGGCGAGGCACTCGAGAACAGTGGGGAAGCACTTGCTGTTTCCCTTGATGCCTCGAAGGCCTTCGATAGAGTTTGGCATGATAGCCTTTTGGGTAAGCTTCCTGCGTACGGCTTATCCCCTGGTCTGATTCAATGGATGAAAGATTTCGTGAGTGAACGGTCTCTCCAGGTCGTCGTCGATGGCTGCTCACCCGATCCCGTGGCAACTGACGCCGGTGTTCCTTAAGGGTCTGTTCTCTCCACAACTCTTTTCCTGCTGCATATTAACTATCTGCTTATGCCCGGTATCTATGGGTATGCAGTCGATAGCACAGTTGTGGAGAGATACCAACCAAGTGCTCGGGCCAGTCGGGATCAAATCCAATCCAAAAGAGAGGCTATGATTGAGCCGGTGAATCTCACACTACCGGCAGTCTCCGAATGGGGCGATGCCACTCTCGTGAGATTCAACGCCTCCACAACACAAGCGTGTCTTTTCACCGCTAAAGGGAGCCCGCTCACTCTAACTCTTACTGTTAGGAATGTTCCTAGGAGTGCACTGACCGCCTTCAGTTGTTGGAAGTTGAATTTTCTCCGAACCTCAACTATGGGCGGTTCATTAAGGCCAGAGCCAAAGCAGCCTCCTTGCAAGGGTGCGGCGGTACTTCACACTGGGACAGCTCCTTACCTTATATAAAACGCAAGTCCGGTCGCGCATTGATTACTGCTGTCACATATGGGCTGATGCTGCAAAATGCCACCTGAGAGCGTTGGACTCAGTGCAGAGACGTGCTAAGAGGCTCATTGGCGACCTTGATTTGGTTGAAACCAACCTTGTCAGCCTCGAGCACAGGCCGAAGAGTAGCCAGCCTCTCGGTATTTTATAGGATGCATTTCGGAGAGTGTGCGCAGGAATTGGACGCTTTAATTCCTCCCTCTCCTTTCCACCATCGGATGACCAGGTGATGGCGCATTAGAACCGAAACCAAACGGTTTACTTCGACATTTTTAATGCGTACAAAAAAGGAGTGGAATAATTTGCCGGCGTCAATCTTGTCCGAATACAATCTGGACGTCTTCAAGGCAAGAGTGAATAGGCATTTGTTACGCTAAGACAGTGCGGTTTACCATTTAAGGCTGCATCACCACTAACCACCAGGTGGGATTCTGGTCAAGCACTGGCTTATAAAAAGTTAAAAAAAACTATTTCTGTAACTAACATAGACATATTATTAATAATTAGAATATTTTATTAGTATTACTATATGATATAAATTGATAACATGTTTAAAGTCTATCTAGTTCTAGCGTATTGCACGAGTACCGCACGTACATTCAGTACATTTAGCGATAAAATTACATTATCTGTGGTAAATGACTCGTGCAATAAAATATAATCTTATTGAAATAATAAAATATATACAAAACAATCTTTTATTGGCGTTGCTAAGGCCAGCATCCGGGTCCAACATCAGATCATCCAATCAGCTAAATGCTAAATATTGTATTGCTAAAAAGATTTAAGCATATATACTGTACAGCGGACATTGGGAACATTTACATACAAAAACTTTGAGCTCACACGTATGTGACGCCCTCTAGCTAAACATAGCAAAACTACGCCGAATATTTATTAGGAAAATATTTCAGCTATTTTGCAACAGGCGACGCTATTAAATATAAGTAAAAACGTGTTTTAGGAATGTTACCGATTCACCGTCAATGTATCGTTAATGTTGTTGAAGGTTCTAAGTTTGAAATGCTTTACGATATAATAGTAGTGAATATGCATGATTGTTTCAATGTATAAATATATTGATTATGACTCCAACCACACCGAAAAATCATATAAACTTTTTACGTCATTTTAGGTCATGAAATAAAATATTTAATTTCCAATAACTAAGAATCAATTCAAACAGCAGCCACGTCGATGAAATCTCGGATGACGTTTTGGATGACGTCACTCGGTCCATTAGATGCTATAATAACAGCATACAATTGGTCGGTCAGCATCGAAGACACATCAAAGAAACTTTCAATCTGATAAGAGAGCGTCTCCATGTTTTTGAAATTCGAATGAATGAATGAAATGAATGAATGTAGAATTCGTTTGAAGCACGAGAAGGTCGGCTGGACGGGAGCAGGACCACGCTCTTACAGAATACCAGCGTAAAATAGCAGCATAATGCTGCCGAGTTTCATATGGAGGGCGTAGATAACCGGAGACCCTTTTTACTGGAAACGAGGCATTCCATCTTAGTCCTCAGGGTCCCAACGCATTTGCATTTTGATCCTTAATTGAGGATAAATGCTGATGTCTATAGGCCACAGCATCCACTTACCATCAGATGAACTACATGCTCGTTTGTCACCCTTATTCTATTAAAAAAATTCAGTAGCAAGACCCTTACCCTTACAAACATACATTGCTAGTTAGCTAAAAGCTTTTAAAAAGCAAGTTGATTTATAAAAGATTGTATAGGATGATTATTTACTAAACTGATTTGTGTGTTTTAACTTTTAAAATCTCGAACTTAACTGTTATGTGGAGTGTACTTGAAAGCTTGAAACTTCTTTTTTATAAAAAGTTTTATACAAACAAACTACCTGATGCTAAGTGGTTACAGGAATCTACGGATACCTGCAGCTTCAAACAAGGAAGGCCGGCAACGCATCTACAATTCCCGGTGTTGCGGTTGTTCATGGGGGCAGTCACTTACGATCATGTGAGTCGCATGCTCGTTTGCCCTGATGCGATATCACCCCTGAGGACTAAGATGGAATGCCGTGCAGTCTGTTATTTATTATACTGAATATACCACTCATAGCGTAACACACCAGCGAAGGAATTGCTATTTGACGCAAAAAATTACTATGAGGGACCCACCTAGACAGAAATATAGGCACAAGACGAGTCTACCACTTAGTAAACTGATACTGATACAGTTATAGAAGTAGGGTGACAAAAGATCACAACATTCAGTCAGTAAAACCTGATGTAAGGTGCAATTTGTGTTCCTAATGGCCGTTTAATTAATTCTCCTGGTGTCAAAGTCACATTGACTTAAAGTGATAGAGGCAGCACTAGACTTAACGTCATCTTAAAATTCAGCAGAGTTGCTTATTTTGTTTGAATAAAAAAATTATGCGTTTATTTTGTTTCCAACATATTGGTGAAATTTCCCAGTGAGTATCCAGAGGATACTCGTGTTGGGAATGAGCCGCTACTTTCCTTAAGGATGACAGTGAGATTACAAAAAGTCTTTAATTGTAAGTGTGTTATTAAGATTAACTTGTAAAAAAAATTGTTATTGTACGTGTGTATTTAGATTGTGCGAATGTGAGTGTGAGTGTAGGGATGAACAAAGTATAAGTAAGTAGCTTTGCATAATTAAATTTTTGTAATCAAATATGACTCCGGTCTATAGCGCGACAACAGGGATATTAGTCGGCGAGTTTAAAAGAAAAGAAGTGCAGTGGTTACTTGTTTGTAATTTCGATATTATAAAAGGACTTACCTGATTCACATTTCTTAAAAACTGCCACTTCACCCAAAACCACAGCCAGCAAAGATGCTACGGTAAGAAAAATGAGAGGCTGCATTGTGGTACGGTCTTACGAGTTCAAGACACGACTGTGAAGTAATATAACGTTAAATGAAGTACATATATGCGTCAATATCTAGACTGACATCTTGACCCGCCCGCTTGGTACGAGATAAGAATTGTAATTTTAAGCGATTTAATATGTTTATTGAGTCCGCATCATTACACGATAATTATTCGCTCGTTAATATTAGTTTGTCCATGTTAATGAGGAATATAAACGAGATATTAATGTTGATGGAATGGATTCTTAATATTTATTTAATTCCTAAAATAATTTTGTACGTGGTAATATATATAATATAGCTACACCATGGCTCTACTAGGTTAAAAAATAGAGGTGTTAATTAAGTAAAGCTAATTATTGACTCTGAGCGTTACACGACGCCCGTGCATGTGCATGAACACTACTGTCAATAAACGTACACCAGCATCATATTATTCAAAGACGAATAACAGCGGTAAAGCCAATCTGCAGCTATGTTGTGGCGCGACCGTGATAAGACCACACTCTCACAGAATTCCGGAGTGGAACAGTAAAAAAAAATTGGTTGACCCTACAGGCTATCCTGGAACTTCCCGCTAATTTCAAATGCAAAGCGTTCCAAATTTCACCAAATTATGTTGCGAAATGTTAAAAAAACATTTTTTTCAACACTTTCTCCTTCGATATCTCACGAACGAATGAACCGATTGTTATTTTCCATATAGGCATTCAACGTTATTTTTTAAACTTAAGAGCTGATTAGTTTTTGAAGTCGATCGGTAAAGCTGTTTAAAAGTTATTAAAAAAAAACAGTTTTCCAAAATTTAAATTTTTTTTAGATTTCTCAATATCTACTAGTCCGAATCAGTTCATATTATCACCAAATCTATTCCAAATTGAGATCTCTAGAATACCGCATCTCAATCGATCAAGACGTTTAAAAGTTATGAAAGGTTTACATACTTACACACATATATACATACGTACATCCGAACGGACGTCTACGTGAAATTAGTCAGAATATCTTCCTGGGATCTCAAAACGTCGAGATCTGATATAAAATCGAAAATCGGTGTGAAATCATTAACTTCCCTATTTTTGAAAATTTTCAATTTTCTTAGCGAGACGTCAAAAAAGGTTTGGTAAGTGTAGAGAAACGGAAACACTTTTTACTCGTAAAGGAGGCATTCCATCTTAGTCCTCACGGGTGACAACGCATCTGCATTTTAATTCTTAATCGAGAATAGATGTAGATGTCTATGGGCCACAGCATCCACTTACCAACAGGTCGACTGTGTGCTCGTTTGTCACCCTTATTCTATACTAGACCGGATATTTCCGCAATTTCGCCGGCGTGGAATTCATTACGATTGGATTTCATCAGTCTTAATTTTTCTCGCGGAATCCTAATTCTGTGGCCGTAGAAGGAAAAGGGGAGATCTTCCGTCAGGCAAGGTGTTCTGCCCGGGACGCGGCCAACGCTCCGTGTGATAGTTCGGAGAAGTTCTATATATACTGTTTATGATTCGGAATGTTGATAGCGCGATTAAGGCTTCAGTGTGTTTTCGCTTGTGGCGCGACGACAGCGCCGCTACATCACCCCCCTGCTCAGACCGGAGGTCGATAGTGCAGCCTCATTGCCGACGAATGTGCAAGTGCCAGGAGATTGCCTTGTAGTCTGCGGTGAGTCGAGAAGAAGGCAAGTAATCTGCGAGAGTGCCGTGAAGCAGAGACGAGCAGTAAGGCTCAGAGCCGTGCCGAACACTGTATAGCGCAGAGAGTAGCTTGAAGGAACAGGAAGCATTATTATTCCAGTGCTGCGATGAACCTTATGAAGCTAGATGGCTTGCAGGATATGAAGACTGCAGACGATATCTGCTCGGGAGCGAGTGGGTAGGGTATTATATGACGATGATGTAGTTTGAAGTTTCCGAAGGTTGTTTGGTTGCGTGTTCAGATCACGTCGGGGTCACCACTGTGGCCGTAGAAGGAAAAGGGGAGATCTTCCGTCAGGCAAGGTGTTCTGCCCGGGACGCGGCCAACGCTCCGTGTGATAGTTCGGAGAAGTTCTATATATACTGTTTATGATTCGGAATGTTGATAGCGCGATTAAGGCTTCAGTGTGTTTTAGACAGGACTTTCTTACTTTTATTTAAAAAAATAAAAGTAAGAAAGTCCTGTCTAAATCCAACCAGCCGTTTCGGATACTGGCCGGAACAAACAGACAGCCAGACAAAATCTTTAAAAATTGTAACAGTACCGTATATACTTTCATATGTATTTAGTAAAAGGCTGTTATATTTACATTAAAAGCAGATACTTCAATTTTATTTATTTGTATAGATAAATATCTTCCGCAATCAATACAAATAAATATCCTTGTCTATGTCGAATTTTATTCATTTATCCTTTTTTAAGAATACCGTGTAATTGCGGCCAAAGAGAACCCGTCTCGGATTTTCGTTCCTTTGAAGAATACAATAAATAAAATACAAATAATATAAAAATAAAATACAAAAAATGTAATTTAAAATACAAAAAATATAATATAAAACACAAAAAATATAATATATATTTTTATAAAACTAACTAACACAATGAGCACCCACTTACTTTTCTTTCATTATTTTTTAAATTTCCGATAAGAACTCTCGAAGTGGCGTAAGTGCTAATCTCGCCTCCACAGAAATCGCCCAAGTCAGCCATTAAATCAGTTTTTATAGAGCACTAATGTTTTAATGCAAATTGAGTTGAAGCTCGGCCTGTGTATATAAATGTATATAAATACTTTATAATGCTTTACATAGAACACTTTTTTGAAGGAACTAATAATTATTATATGTTTTTTTCTGATGGTAAATAGTCACCGTCATCACTTTTATGTGTGATAGAACCACGCTGCAGCTGTAGCTGTAGCTGTAGGTACGTAGTTGCAGCAGAAATGGGTCGACTCGTTCGAGAAAGGGCCACATTTGCACACAAATTACCGATTGTGAAATAGCAGAATGCTTGTATGATGCGATTCGTATCGTGAGTGTATGGAAGCCGAGACCCTTTTTACTGGTAACGAGACATTCTATTTTAGTCCTCTGCGATGACAACGCATCTGCATTTTTAACCTCGACGAAAATGAGGGATGTGTTATAAGTATGACCGCTATAATAATAATAATAGCCCCCCCCCCCGGGGGCACCACCTTGACGTGGGGGGGGGGCTTAAGGGGAGGCATGAACCTAACAGCGGTCACTACGAACTTGATCATACACTGTATTTACCGGTACAGGAGGCACATTTTATTATTCACTAACATCTTTGCTAACCCTCCCCAACTAACGGTCCCACGCCCAAACCCAAATGGAGAATAATTATGGTATTCAGAAGAAGCAAACGGCCCCAAGTGCTCGGCGGACCCAGTAGCAGGACTGGTTATGACGGAAGCCAGCCTGATATGTACTGAAGTACATGGTAGGAGCCAGCTGTGCGATACGGAGTCGAATGCGAAGTGACGTCCCTATCGTCCGCTGACGTAACAGTTATGTGACAAAACTGCTACGTCGGCGCAGTCAGTCAGCGCCCTGCCAATAGGTGTGAGCGCCGTGCCTAGGCAAAATTGTGGATGCAAAGGTCTCCATATGACCGAACCACGAAACGGTGCCGGGCTTGGGCGTTTCCCGCTAATTGGCGCCTATAAAATGTGTGATGGCACAGAGAGGAAAGCACATAGGATCGCTGCCTGGGAGTCGCCGGGGTGCGTGTGGAGCTGGCGCTAGACGCGGCAGCATGCGGGCCGCCAGCCGAGCGCGAGGAGCTGCACGATCACCTAGCAGCCCCCCGCATCCATCATCCCCACTAGAAGGCTTGGTGTCGGCTGGGTCTTCTCGGACTCAGCAAGCGGCACCCACCACTGGTGGAGTACGCCGTATGCGTTGGACAATTCAAATAAACAGCAACGCATTGCGGGCGTATTTTAGGGCGAAAGGGGGGGATATTGGATGTTTTGCGCATCGGGCAAGGATGCATCGACTTTTTGCTGAGCTGGAGCCATCTGTTACCGTCACCGAGCAGAACCAGGCAGACCGAGTTCGGTATATCTTGCGCTCAAATATATTTGATGGCGGCGAACTTGAACGGCTACGACGTGAGGCTGTTCCCTCATCAAGTGAAAATGCTACGGCTGAGGATGCGGCGCCACAAGTTGCAGAGCAACCGGCAAATGTGGATGCCGTTATTGTACTGGACGCGTAAGGTGTCGACAGTCCGTCGTAAATAATTCGACCATTGGCTGCACTAGTAGAAAACTTCATTACACCTCACAAACTTATGTCCCAACATCGGGCTGCCAGCGCCCTACGTTACGCTATGTGTGTCTGTCTGTCTATGGCACTGTAGCTCTTAAACGGGTGAACCGATTTGGGTACGGTTTTTTTATTAAAAAGCAGATTTTCTAGCAGTGGTTCTAATACATGTTTTATCAAAATCGGTTCACCGTTTGAAGATTATTTCTTAGTTTTCAATTTCAGTTATGTTTCTTTATGGAGCATAAATGTAGGTGTCTAAGGACCACGTGGTCCACTTACTATCTGGTGGACGGGAACTGGTCAATTGGTGACCACAGAGCCGACATTCTCGCATTTGGAATGCTGTTATTAGTGTTATAATTCTAATATTTGTTGATGGTATTGACATTCTTGGATGGATTTCCCTCAATGTATCAGATGTAGTCTTGTTTGCGAATCAGTAGGATGCCTCACTTGTATGCTAGGTTGTCATTTAGACATTAATTATTAAATAAAAAGCTGAGCGCTCGACGTAAATATTACAGTACACAATCAGTTACTTTGTATCATACCGTTACTATGTACCTCACTACCGTGTAGTGGCGGTTTAATAATATCCACTACCGCATATCTGCCGTGGGTGTCGTAAGAGGCGCCACCGCCGCCACTACGCGGTAATAGCTACTATTTATTCTGTGGTAATACGACTAAAAACTACTGCAATAATTAAATCAGTTACAGGCGCATATGCTGAGGATAAAATTATCCAACACTTAAAATTAAATAAATTTTCTCATCTACTAGATGAAAGTACAGATAGGGGCTGTATAAAACATATATGTAGTTTGGACATTGCGAAGGCCTTCGATCGGGTTTGGCACAAAGCGCTTCTTTCGAAGCTCCCTTCCCATGGGCTTCCCGAGAAATTGTGCGATTGGATCACCAGCTTTCTTGCAGATCGGGGCATCAAGGTCGTTGTAGACGTTGCAAGCTCCGATTGCAAGCCTATTAATGCTGGTGTTCCACAAGGCTGCGTGCTATCGCCAACGCAGTTTCTTCTGCATATCAATGATATGTTGCAAACCCGTAACATTCATTGCTATGCAGATGACAGCACTGGTAATGCTCTTTACACCGGCCGAGCCAATATTTCTCGGGAAAACGTCTCCGAGTGCCGGGACAAACTTGTGTCTGAAGTCGAGTCTTTGCTGAACAGAGTCTCGGATTGGGGGCGACTAAATCTAGTCTAGTTTAACCCCCAGAAGACACAAGTTTGCGCGTTAACCGCTAAAAAGAACCCCTTTGCCGTATCTCCTCAGTTTCAAAGCCCCCCTTGTTGCCTCAGCCAGTATCGGAATCCTCGGCGTCGACATATCGAGTGACGTGCAGTTTCGTGGTCACTTGGAAGAGAAGGCCAAATTGGCCTCTAAAAAGCTTGGCGTGCTCAGCAGAGCGGGACAGTATTTCATGCCGGCACACCGCCTGCAACTTTACAAGGCGCAGGTTCGGCCGCACATGGAATACTGTTCCCATCTCTGGGCTGGGGCTCCCCAGTACCAGCTCCTTCCACTTGACCGCATCCAGCGTAGAGCGGCTCGAATCGTCGACGACCGAGTGTTTTCCGATCGGCTCGATTCACTGGCACTGCGAAGAGATGTTGCATCTTTTTGCATTTTCTTTCGCATATACCATGGAGAGTGCTCTGAGGAATAGAAGATTAGTATTATTATATCCTATACCTTTAAACGAGCAATTCTTATATATATATATATATATATATATATATATATATATATATTATATATATATATATATATATATATATATATATATATATATATATATATATATATGTATATATATATATATATATATATATATATATATATATATATATATATATATATAATCGGAATCTCGGAAACGGCTCCAACGATTTTCATAAAATTTTATGTGTAGGGAGTTTCCGGGGGCAATAAATCGATCTAGCTAGGATTTATTTTTAGAAAATGTCTTTTTGTCCGTGTTTTTAGGCAATGAAAAACTGCTAAAATATCGTTAGAATGAGAAGGTAAATTTTGACAGTTTATTAATGATTACAAATAGCTTAATTGGTTGGTTTATTGGGCGGTCACAAAATCGTAATACCATGGTTCGAGCCCAGACCGACCGACTTTTTTTAAATTTTTTTTTTCAAGTTCCTTTCTTTTTTTGAGAAAATCTATTTTTTCGAGCCCTTTTCTTAGTATTTTTTAAAAACACGAAAATTTAAATTAAACTAATTGCACTCATGATTTTTTATTCAAATAACCAGTTCAGTTTTTTCTATTATGTCGCTAAGATCAAAAAATATTATTCGTATTTCATCAGTATGTAATTTGTATCTAAATATAATTTCCAAAACACACGAATTACAAAAAAAACCGAGCGAAAAATACCGAGCAAAGCTCGGTCAACCGGGTACTACATTATATATTAGTAGAAAACGTCAAAATGTTCACACTGAAATGTCTTGATTTTTATATCGAAGCTGCAAGACAAATGAAAATGCACTACGATTTTGGAAACGAGGTACTTAAAGGCCTGGAATTTTTAAACTCCGAAGTGCCGTCACGCAGAATAGAGTCAATTGTACATATGGCGCTCCACTATTCAAATTTGATAGAACAAGTAAATATTCTAAATATTCTATAAATAAATAAAAAATAAAATCAAGTAAATAAAGTAAATAATCTAGATACAGAATGGAGAGATTTAAAAAATAATTTTATCATAAACCCAGTTGCAAATGAAGAAGTAGAAAAGTATTGGCAGAGAATTATGACTACCGTGAATCCTGCTGATAGAAATTTGTTATATCCACAACTGTCTAAATTTATTACATCACTACTAAGTTTGCCACATTCTAGTGCAGCTGTGGAAAGAATTTTCTCAGCTATCAATATCATAAAAACAAAACAACGAAATCAATTGTCTACTGAGACAATGGAGGGACTGCGTTATATTAAATATTTGTTTGGCAGCACAGCCTGTTTTGATTTCGAATTAAACTCATCAACTATAAAAAATAACAGAAAAGAAATTTATTATTTTAAATAAGTTAATCAAATTCTTATGAATCCTTATATTCATTGTCAATCAATATACGGGTGGTTTCACGATTATTTTTTGATTATTCTAATTGTTGTTAGATAATAAGTATTTCCTTGTATGTTTTTTTTGGAACTGCTATTTCTATACAATATTCTTAATGATTTTTTAAATTTACGCGAATACTACACATTGAATAAAACTATATTTAGGGATTTCATTGTGTTTAATTAGCTATTTAAAGTTGCTAATTAAACGCGATAAAATCCGTAAATATAGTTTTATTCAATACAGTATTAATAATAAAGACATACGGAATTTATACGGACTTTTAAGAATCCAGTACAGATTTTAATTCGTATAATGTTGGCAACACTGCTGCAACCTGCCAGTCGTCCGCATACATATTTATTTATCTATGGTCGTCCGCAGTGCGGCGTAGAGAGCACCCGTGTACAACTTTAGGCACGCCCGCTGTTGTCGTATAAACATAAAAATATATTTAAAAAATATTGATAACCGTGGTATGCCATTAGCCGCGTAACACACCTAGCGCACGGGCTCGCGCGGCAGCCTCGCGAGGCAAATGCCTCGGGTGGTGTGGGCGTGCCTCGGGTGCACGTTGTCTCTGCTGAGCGCGCGCTGCTCGACCCCGAGCCATACGTTGTCGGTAAACTGGACGTGCTCAAAGCTGCCTCAGCAGCGTTGCCATTTAAACGGCAATTGCCGTGTTACACGGCAATTTGGATCTATTCAGTAATAAAACATGGTACACGGCAGCATATTGTTGCGCGAATAAGTCGACGTCATGTATCCGGCACTAGCGCCATCTAGTGTCAGGGACAGGGATTCTGGATGTTTCGGTGCTAATTTGTATTTATAGGCGCTGCAAGATGCGATCGGGGAAGTATTGAATTCGGCGAGACAAGCGAAGCTTCGGAGCGAAATAAAGTGAATCAGTGTGATTAATTATTAGTGTTATAAGTTTAATTAGTGTAAAGTGAATTAAAGTGTTAATTTTGGTAATTCTATCGGCAATTTTTATTGTCACGAACCTCAAGCTCGTAACAATATTAATTATATAAATTATCGATCGAATATTACCGAAAATTTTATCGGTAGTGGATAAGTTATTATCACGCATATCACTGGACTACACTAGACGTAGTCATGACTCTATGAGCGGGTAAATCCCGACGCGAATTCGACATACATTCGTGCACATCATTGTTTATGGTATTGATTACGTTTCTTCGTCTTTTGAAAATTACAAAAAGAATTGAATTTTAATTGAAAATTGAAGTTTAAAAAGATATACTGCTGTTTATTTACTTTATTTAATTTTACTAGCTAAAACACTTTATCCGATCTCAAGGAAATTGTAAACCGACAAAACAAATGATAGACAATATGAAGGAAAATAATAAATATAAATTGAACAAAGGCGAAGAAGTTTTGGATACGATAAGAAATTTGTATCATGACTGCGAAGAATAATCTTTTTATGTCATGTTTAATTTTAAGTGTTAATTTAAAATAAATAAAAATGTACACGGCAATTTCTAGTTTTTATTCCAAAACACGGCATTCCAGATTCCAAAACACGGCAACTTAAAATTGCGAAATGGCAACCCTGTGCCTCAGTGACTCAAGCAGTGTTGGGAAATGTACAATAATTATTGGATTCTTGCAATAATTTGTTACACGAAACTAAACTGTACCATAAAACATATCTTTCTCATTATTGTACGCTTTTATACAATATTTTCCTATTTTTACACAATATAAGTTCAATACATACACGTAGACACGTAGACACACGTAACTCTTAAATGTATGAACGAACGCATCACGTACTTATACCAAATAATGTAGTTA